CCGGAGCCTAGTGGCCTAGCCCTCCCAGAAGTCAAAGCAAAGAGAAATACCAGGCTGGAACAAGAGGCAGCAAAGCTCTGTGCTCATTCAATATGTTTCAAATATGATGAACAAACAATCTTGTTTTCGTTTAGTCATGACATGAATGAGCGCTGCAACATAAGAGGTCGCTACAGCACGGAGAGGCATACACGTACTAAGCAGTCGAAGCAAGCGGCTACTGGGCAGTCAGGTATCATGTATGCTGGCATGCGGTTTGCTCAAACTTGGAAAAGACATGCTAGACCTTGCTCTTGTAATTCGAACTTACGCTTTCCAATCGTGGCTGCGCCTGGGATGCTTATCCATGACAGCCTTTGCTCAGGATAGCCCTGGATGCTCCAGATGTGGGCCCACTACGCCTGGGCCTAGGATGGAGTGTTCTCAAACCTGGAGGTTGCAGCATCTATCAAACGCTATGACTTGCTGCAGGTCGGTGTTTGTCCGGAGACCTTGCGGCCATGGAGGAGGATGAAGAAGAGGAGCAGGAGAACAGCTTAGTAGTGGGCTAGCCACAGAGAGATTGCTCCAAAGTCTTCTTGTGCCAGGCTGAGAATGACAGGCCAGGGATGCGCTGAGAGATTCTTGAGAGCCTGGGCGCATTGTGAATGAACTGCAGCGGAGCCAAGCAACATGAGTGGTGAACAGAAGGCAGCCCGAAATTGGTAGCATACCTTGGTCATTCCTGATTCAGCTTTTGTCTTCAGGCCGACCTACTGATAACAAGCCCCCGCGCTTGCCGAACATATCTTCTTGCCTGTTCCAAGCGTCTTAGCGTAGATGAAACTCTCAGGAACCAAAAAAAAATCAAGAGGCGTGTCGGATGAATTTGCATCCGCAGTCTGCAATCAATCTGTGACAGGCCAGCGACTGTTAGTTTGGACCTCAGCTGGACCTCAGCACCAGCAAGTGTCTGTGGCCAATCCAAAGAGTCACGACCAACCAGTTTCCGTGGGTGTGTGGCAAAGCGAATGCAAGAATTTAGACACGTAGCGTTGTGAAGGTCAAAGTCCTCTCTGAGCAAATGACTGTCAACTCGAACTCATGCGCTATCCCGTTTGTCGGACGAAGGGCACTGTTTGCGGCAACGTATCACACAAGAATTTCTGGGACGCATTGAAACCTTTGCTCCAGGCGTTCGTCAGTGCAGAAGTAAAGAACCTAGGGCAACAATTGTTTCCTTGGACAACAAAATTGGCCCAAAACAAAGCTACTGTACATCTCTTGCAAGGATACACTCTTGATTTTTCCTGAACCTCGCCAAAAGACACTTGTCAAATTCCTTGTTCACCGCCCAAAATACAAGCATGCCATCAACAGCAGAAAAGAAAAAGAAAAAAGAAGCCTTGTCCAGCTCGGCGGCTGTCGAAGCGGTTCGTCGCCACCCTCACTCTGCCCTGGTACCTGCACTCGACTCAGTCAACTGGGTTGCTGTTAAGGAACTCAAATTAAGTTACTCTATTGGGTAAACCGTATTAATTGCTGAATACTCCCACTATGGTAACTTGCTTCAAGTTCCTTAAAAGCAACCTAGTCAATCACTTGCGTCAGCATTGCGCATGAGAGCGATCCAGCCTGTTTCCGTTCGGAAGAGCAATAAGAATAGTATTGACAGTGGACGAAGCTAGTGGCGTTCTGATAGCATTGTGAAAGACAACTCTTGCAATGGCTGGACCTGAGGCGAACTAGTGGTGGCCAGGTATGGTGGTGCATTTGCGTGGAGGCCTCTTTTACGGATCTTGACCGCTAGATTCGATTGAGCTGGTCCCTTATGCGAAGCGGAGGGAAAACCCGGTGTGTAGGATTGTATTCTTTGAGGCTCACATCTCAAGTCATCTCAAGTCTCCAGCTGTAAGCATCCATGAGTCCTGATGGACTACGAGTAACACACACACACACACACACAGGATTTCACATTCCTTGCCATCATGTGAACCAGGGGTGGCCTTTGTGTTGGCGAAGAGACCATCAGATCAGCCGCCTTTGCGAGGCCGCGATTAGAATTTCCCTGACCGGAGTTGATGCCAGAATACATGTCAGCGCTGCTGATTGTCATGATGTCACCATGCTAAATGGAAGGCAGTGGAACCTGGCAAAGCCAAGCTTCTACGCTCTGGGAATAGTGTCCAGGCCAGGCAGCCGGTTCTACGACATTTGAACTGGAATGGTCAATTGCTAGCGTGGTTGCCGCGTGACGTGAGGACATGGAAATGACGCGACGGCGTGCAACAAAGCTGCTGTCGCAGTTAGATCCCGCTCTTCTGGACGAGTCTGTAGCTGAACTTCAAGCCGTGGTCAGTTGGCCGATCAGCTTGCTGTGCAGCAAATATTGGCAAGGTTCATCCGAATGGACGTGGGCTTGCCGCGTCTGCTGGCAAGCACAAGTGGAGGCACAGGCCCAAGTCCGATGACTAGCCCTCTAAACAAGTTGCTAGCAATGATTCAACTGCTGGACTAAAGCTCAAGGTTGGGTCGGTGTTGTGGAAAGTGAAGGGCGGATCATCGAACGAAAGGTCTCCGTCAGCGAGGCCCGTCTAGTGCAGCCTCTCCTTTGCATCTGGCATATCCTTGCAAAAAGCATCATGAAGCATGCCCGAACCCGAATAGGAAGTGCCATTCAGTGCAACAGGCACGAACGACAGATGCCGTTCTAAGAGCTGGTGCAGAGGCCCAGCGGCCCAACGCTTTGCCATCATTCGATGTGTGTTGCCATTTTACCAACCGAGCTCAGCGACATGAAGCCTCGTACTTGGGGCCGCATTGAGTCGGATGCCAATGTCCTGTCATTCAAGTAGCACTGCAGGCACTAGCAGATAGTGTTTGTTTCCGAGCAGCCACATCGGCAAGCTTGCTACTAACTGTGTGACAAGAACAAGACTGCGGCAGATGTGTCTTTTCTGGCTCAGGTGGTGTCAAAGAGTGCTGTGCTTCGGCAGGCTGCAGAAACAGCACGCAGAGGAGCGCACTGCAAATCATACAGAGAACAATATTTCAAGCCTGCACAGTCAAAGACATCCTTTACCGTAAACCCGGTCTTTGTAAGTACATTTGTGGCTTTAGGATTTGTATAGCTACATGGTTGTGAGGAGTAGCAGAGCGGCCATCTCGGGATTTTGTATCTCTGGACTGCACGGGTGGTCCACTGCCCTTCCTCTCCGCCCCCCATCCAGAAAGCTTCCCTAGGTACTCCTTTCTTCCGAATCATGTCCCTAAAAAAGGGGACCCCAATATAGACCCCAAAACACTATAGTCCTCATTATTGGGACCCAAAATGGTAGCCCTAATTTTGGGAAACCTTCATGTAGAAACACTGAGACAGGCTCTCTGCAGCTTCCAGCTTTCGCAAGCAGCGAAGAAGTGCCTTTGGTCGGCTACTTAAATCAGGTCAGGCTTCCTATGGGACCTTCTCAAAACTTAACCCTTGTTCGGGGATGCCAAAAGCAAGGATTCTGGCAGTTTGCTGTACGGGATGTGGACCGTTGTTTTCCCAAAATCATCCAATGTTGTTTTTACTGGACAACTCACGGTTCCCAAACCTTCGTGGAGCCTGTGAAGATGCATGCCTGAAGGCTGCGTCTGTTTGCAATCTTGACCCATGCGTGGAGAGCAGGGGTACTCTCAGATCTAGACAGGAGCCAAGATTTCTGTGATTTGCCCACGAAAGTGTGCCAAACAGTGCCCCCTAAGCTGGAAAAGCTGTCCCCTTCTCCACGGCTGTTCCCTTGAAGAAAACAATGTTTTCGATAACTAGCACACCCCATGCAGGATGAACAATAAATCATAACAAACCACTTGTTGTTGCCAATAAGAACAAGAATGCCGAAAGCCAGAACATGTAATTGGCGCACGCTGTGTATTCCACCGTGCGTTAAAGGCAGCAGGTGCTTTGGGGGGGAAGGGGGAGGCAGTTACGTGCGATTCAAGAGCATGCGGTGACCAGAACATCAGTCTATTCCCAGACTTTTTCCGTTCGTGTTCCAAAAGCATATGGTGAACAGAGCATCCGCGCCCGAACTATAATTACGTTCGTGTTCCAACAGCTTACAGTGACCAGAACATCCCTGCCCAAACCATAATTTCGTTGGTGTTCCAAGAGGATACGGTGACAAGAACATCCATGCCCAAACCTTAATTTCGTTCGTGTTCCAAGGGCATACGGAGCAGCATTGGAAGTGCTGCTGTGAAAAGAGCCTGGCGTGCAAGGTGTTTGTGTGGAAATAATGGTACAAAACTGTAAAGCAGCGTTGGTCGAACCCCACTTTCCGCATGGAAATCAGCTCAAAACGCAATGATTTTCAACACGGCCTTTTCGCGCGGTAAATTCCCATACGAAACCACTATTTTATGCATCCCTCAGACTCTTGACATGCACTGTAACCCACGGCGGAATACCTGCCGTGCACCATGTTGTTGCCTCTCTTTTGTTGGAGGAAGATGATTTTGCACATTTTTATTTCGAAGTACAAAGACGGCTGAACTTAGTGTTCAGCCTATCATTGGCACATCGAGGTGCCTGACGGTGCCTGTAGGAGGACCGTCTTGATTTGAGGTATGCTTTGTAAAACCCCAATATGGGCAAATTCCGCTGTGAGCTTGTTAACGCTCCGATGAACTTCGTGCTGGGGATAGCAGAGGCCCTTCGCTGGAAAAGCGACACTGGCAGCCGCTCCTTTTTCGACAGGCCCACTTGTGGTGCACACAATTTAAAGCAGCCCAAGGCCCATGTCAGCCTTGCTCTGCAATACCTTGCTGAAGTGAAAGATGTTGCCAGGCAAAGCAGAAAGCATGTCTGTTTGATATCAAGTAGCACGACATCTGACTGCATGACGCCGTTGAGGGTGCTCAGGTTTGGCAGCTGTGCATTGCAATCGCAAGGCATCCGAACAAGAAGCCATCCAGAACTAGTAACAAGTGTCGTGTGCAGCGAGCAAGCAGTCTGCTCCACCACACGTACCTGCATCATGCAATTGTCCTTCAGCTTCGCGCATGGTGGTTCACATGGCCCTTTGGTTTTTGAGCCACATATACGAATCGATGACGTGGCTCACCACCTCAAGAGATCCCTCAAGCAGTCAGAGCAAGTGTATGCTCGCTTTCTTTGGGATGGCACATGGCTGCCAGCAGGCCAGAAATTGTCAGAAACGTCGGTGAAGGATGGGGACGTGCTGGAGACACTATGGGTCTCTGCAGTACCTCTGGGCGACATCGGAAATGACGTGCACGAGGTCCTGCCCAGGCGAGCCCCACTGGACTGGTCGGCGGTGGACGGCCTCACACTTGACGTGGCTGGGATTTTTCAGATTGAGCGGCACCTCGATCAACTGCAGAAAAGCATCGTTCCATCTCTGCAAGTGTTAGACATTCGCCAATGCGGCTTGCGCCCAGAATTTATTCGTAGCCTCTTCAAACAGCTACCAGCCACTCTGAAAGAGCTGCGAGCAAGCCGGAACAAAATAGGTCCGGATGCTTTGGAATGTCTGGGAAATGGAGACTTCAAGCTGAGGGTGTTTGACATTGGATACTCTCATTGTTCAAGCTGCGCAGCGTTGAGTGGAATCGGTGGAATTCTGAGCGGGACCTTGGAAGAGCTGGGCGTTGGAGATCTACAAAGTGCAACCAGACCACCGACGCTGTTGGCTGGCATCCTTACTAGCTGCCCAAGGCTGAAGGTGATTGATCTGACTTTCAATACAGACCGCGGCTTTCTAGACGAGACGTTCAAGAGCCTAGCCGAGCACTGCCCGCTGATTGAAGCTGTCTATGCCTACCATACTGAGCCAACGGCCTCTGTGCTACATGAGTTTCTTACTGGCTGCCAAAATCTTGCGCACCTGGAAGTGGGCGGCATCTCCCAGCCGGAGACGATCTGCAGCATGGCTCAGCTGCCGTCTTTGAAGGCTCTTCGTTTGGAGGTATTCTCATCTCAGCAAGACATGGTTGATGCACTTTGCACTCTCAAGGTGGAGACACTATTCCTGGAATTCACGGCAAATGTGGAAACGGATGACGACGAGGACGACATAGAGGATGTTCTGGACCTGAACCTCAATCCAGAAGCCCTTGCTGAGGCTTTTGGCAAGTCCACTGCATCATGTTTTTCGCTCGCAGTGGGCGGTGCAGTTGACCCCATGATTCTCCAATCCATAGGCTCTCGTTTGCATGAATTTGGGCCAGGGAGATCCCACGGCGAAGGTGTGTCAATACTGGACACGTTGCTACAGGCGCCGAATTGCTGCGTCAATCTAATGCGTTTAGAAGTTTGCTATCACGAACAGATCAAGGCAGAAACGCTGGCCGAAGTAGCTGAGATGTGCCCTCAGCTGATGCACCTCCAGCTGAACGCCGACGATCATGACTTTCAAATAACGCCAATTGACAATGGCGTCCTGGCTCTTGGTCGCTACTGCGGCATGCTGGAACATTTGGAATCTTCGGCATTAATTATTCATTAGTTGGTCTGAGCACTCTATTTCTGGAGAAATGTTCTCAACTGTGGCCCCAGCAAAGGACCTTTATGACAGACTCTTGGAAGATCCCGCCACAACGCTGTCCACTGCGGTGGCGGGCTGGCCCAAACTGCGATACCTTTGCGTCGGTGGTACCTGCAAGAAGCAGTGGCTGGTGGCCGTGATGCATTTGTGTAATAGTTTGGAGGGTGAAACTTCTGAATACTTGGCCGATAATAGTAAGCCTTGCAGTCCCGCACACTTCCAGAAGCCGTTTTGTTGCCAAGGAGGCCGATCCAGAAGCGAGCGTAGTTCGGGCACTGGCCGCTTCTTGTCCGTGTCTAGGACAAGTGATCTTCTATCAAGACAACCTTGAAAGCTGGTATGAAATTCTGAAAGCATCTTGCCCATTGTTTGGAGAAGTGAACTTGGATTCTGACGACGATTGACTGCGTAGAAGCTGACAAACGTAGCACTCTGCTTGTCCAGCAAGAGTGTCCCACAACCAGCAGTTGCATCTTCTTGCGAGAAAAGTCCTGCCTTTTTGGCCTCCAACAGGTAGGCTGCACTTGACTAGTAGGCCTCTCAGAAGCATTTCTGTCGTTTCTATCTTTATGGCTCGGACCTAATACAATCTGATGGCTGACAAGGGTTTTCCGAGCACTGGGCGAGAAAACATGATCATGGTGTGTTGCGGCTACATGCTGCACGCATCATGTTTGTTGTGTTCTAGGAATGCAGGCTTTGAGTTTGAGAGCCAACACCGAAGCAAATGTCCGAAGAAAAGAGATTCAAGGTGCGGAATGATTTTTTTGGTGCTTGAAGCAAGTGGCGAAGCAGGCCTCAGGCTTACTTCACGGAGGACATTTTGGTTGAGCTGAGTCAAGCTTCCATCTCCAGGACTTTACCTGCCTTACATGCTGAAATGTTGTCGGGTTGTTCGACAATGATTGTACAGGGGCATGTATGGTAAGTATGGTGTGTATTGATTGAAATAATTACAGGATCATAGAGACGAGAGCAGCAAATGAGCTCACATCAGCTTGCCTTAGAGTCATAGCAGCTTGGGCAGACACGCAAGCACAAATATGGGTACCTCCAGGCATCAAAGGGATGCAAACCTTATCAGAATGCACTTCTTAAGTCTTGAGTTTGCAGGACTACTATTGCTGGTGCGCCAGCTGTCGCTGTCACAAATCAGCAACGGCAATTCGTCTTCGTCACAAGGCCCTATGAACAACAGTCAAAATTGGTAAGCACAGTTTCGGGCAATCCCCAAGTGTGGTTCGCTTGTGTGTAGAGGCACAGCCTGCAAATCTAGGGGTGCTTAGATCAACGATGGCAATGCCTACATGAAGTCATCTTCCTTGCTTCCTCGCACGCCCATTCCTTGAACTGGGCAATGCAGACTGTTTGGCAGCTCGCCTCCTGAAAGAAGAAGTGAGCATGCTGAAGCTTAAAAAATCATTTCCAACATCCAAGCAATGGTTTTGGTTGAAAGCACGAGAAGGGGCAGACTGCATTGCAATGTCTCGCCTATGTGTACATGGCTCTGAGCGCAGGTCAGCAGAAGAAGCGGACAAGTGGGCGGCATCGCTGAAAGTGTCTGACGTCCCAGTGCCGATATTCACGCGTGGATGAGTCTTCCCACACTCACATGCTTGTTCTCCTCCCAAATATTACATGGTTTCTTAAGGACCCCAACACAGAAACAAACAGCACATATTCAACATTAGCGGCAAATTGCTAGCACAGAATAGCACAGAGCTATTCTCCAACCTACGACCAAGCAGCCCCGCCCGCTGAGGAGTCGCAGCCCGACAAGCCCGCGCACTCTTGCTACAGTTCCATGGAAAGACAGGTCAGCCTGTCTTGTTACAAAAGGTAGAGGTGAAGATGATTCAGTCGCTTCGCATCGGTCGCCTCTTCCCAGGCAGAGAGCTGACATGCAGAGCAAGTATCGCCTTGCGTTGCCTTCTAGCTGTTGACCGGACTCAAAATTACCGGGTAGTAATGTCATTTCCTTGTGTCTGTAGGCCATGAAGGAGCCAAAGCAGCCTGTAGAGCGAGCAGCGAAAGTGGGAGAATATTTTCAGATCCTGTGGGCGCTCCGGTAGAACTATTCAATCTCAGGCACTAATTGCGATAAGCAGTTGACAGGGAACACTCCCTGAGTACTGTTGCGGCTCTTAGCTGGGACTTGAACACTTCTGCAGTTAAGGCACAAACGCACCATCGCGGCAACTTTTACTATCAGACATGACGGCACTGAGGAAGCTCCACGTTCGGGCTGGAAGCTCCGAAGTATTTGATGTCCCACTCAGCAAAAACGGCGTACAGTCTTTTTTGACATGCAGTTTTGAGTTTTCAGGTTTTCGTCAAGGCCTAGAGTCAATGTCTCAGGAATTGGCTTTAGGATTCTATAGGTTTTGCTCTCTGGACACTAAAACCTCCAGCTATAAAGTTGCCGATCGACTTGATCTTCTTCTTGCTACAAGCTCAGGAGCTTAGAAGCTTGAAATGGCCGCCACGAATCCTAAAGGATTGTACAACAGAAATGTGTCAGCGTTCATAATTTCGGTGTTTTCTTTTTTTGGTATTGTTTATGTTTGTCTTGACGCTTCCTTTCTGGATGTTTCATACGCTCTTCGCAATTGTAATTCAATCAGGCCGTTTCACGTGTTTTCTGCGATTTAGGGCGGCTTCCCACCCATCCCCGAGACTCCATGAATCTGCCGCAAAATATTCATACAGAAGTCATACATGAAAAATGCTGCCATCCATAAATTCCTTGAAATCATGTTCAAAAGAAATGCAAGGAAGTCACTACAATCATTTGAAAGAGATGTTCTTCCAAACATTGAATGCTTCCTTTGAATTCCACTGCAGTACGAGATCTGTAGTCAGAATTAGTCATAAAGCGGGTCCTCGAAATTTTGTAAATCCAAACACTCGGCTTTCTTCCAAGCAACAGCCGAGCCAGAAGTCCATGCGACCAGTACTTGTGGTGGTAATAGTACCAACAGTAGCAACAGTAGTATGGGAGGAGGACATGTTGGGGGAACACTCCAACCTGCCGAAGTGGTGGTAACAGCAGGAATTAGAAAAAGGTTCCATTCAGAGAGATTCGTTTTGTGACAGTGGAACCGCAAAATGAAGAATTTGGAGAAGCTCCCAGAGCCCTCAAGTACGCACCTGATGCTGGTGTCACCTCCTGATCCGCCGGCTTCGGAGTCTCCGTGAAATGCATCACGAGTGGGATTGCTAGAAGGGGGCCGGCAGGGAGGGGAAGGGCTGGGGCTGGGGCCCGACCTAAAATCTGCGCTGAGGTTGAACGATGCCCCACACCGTGGGAGGGGGTAGGAGGAGGGTAACAGGGTTGCTGCTAAGTTCACGAAACAGCGCAGCTCCCTTGAACGTCCCTCTCAGACTGGATCTGCCAAAACGCATCCAGTTTGTGGAGCAGTGAGAAGCAGTACAACAACCTCCCTTGCAAGTGGCATGGATGAATTGCGTCGCTCTGAGAAACAGTGCCGAGGCCGGATCTGGAAATGTAACCCAGCAACAGCACAAAGATGGCTGAGGGTTGCACAAGGTAAACAGCGATGAAATGTGTGTTAGCTTAGTATTGAGCCGCTGGGGTCCTCAGAAAGCACTGGATCCTTTCATTGTGGTAACTGTTTGATGTTCGTGGCAGGCTTCGACGATGGCCCATGAACCGGCTTGTATGCAACGACTTCGAGCTTTGCTTGGACGATTGCAAGGCGCCGCAGGCATGCTAATGACAACCATCGGATCAGTGGTATGAGGGACTGGCACTGATATGCGCTGGACAGTGGAAGCTGTGGTCCGGCTTCCAAGCTACTCTACATTGTTGCCTAGGGCAAAAGACTTGAAAAGAGGGGTCAAATCAGCTGACCTAAACACTTGGGAAATTGAGCCAGCCTGTCAAGCAGATCTCGCGGCCTGCGCCTGTCGCCAGGACCCGCTTGCACTGTCAATGCCTTACGCAGCTCGCGAACTCCCTGTGATCCATGCTTGAGGTGCTGTCGCACACAGTATTAGTACAGCCAGCCTGCGCGTACCGCGCCCTCAACAAGCTACACGCGACACATCATTGATATTGCAAATTTAGTAAACCAGAGGGTACGCCTTCACCGAACATCCTACAACAAGGTCCGCAGAGTTGCTGCGGCTTGCAATCCGCCATGGCCCAAGAAGATTTTGTAGCCAATTGGTCTAGGTTTTGATGTTAGCTTGAAGCTTCGCATTTCCAGGCAATCAAGAGAGTCCCGCTGAACAAGTGCAGCGAGCCCAGAGCTCTCGGATTGCCCAGAGTTCACAGAGACCATTCCCAAGGGCTGCCGTCACGCAGCTAAGCTGCAAGCTGAAGACAGCCGACCTCACAGCGTTAGATCCACAGGATCCGAAGGGGTCAATGGTCAGAGCTCTTCTTGCCTGACGCTCATTTGCTGATTTGGCTTGCAGGACCTGTGGGGCTTTTGGGTCCTCTCCTTAGGTAATGTGTCGAGCACCGCCTCGGTGCATGAACAATTGCATGACAATTGCGGATGAAACGTATGAATGCGTTTTGGTGTCGTTGTAGCATTTTGTCAAAGAATTTGTTGGGCTTGCCTGAGGTTAACGTGTATCACAGCCTCCTGGTGCATTCGTGTTCTCTCTACGGGCGCCCAAAGACCTTGAGGCTGGCAATAGGATTGCCGGATATTGGCAGCAAAAGATGCGAAGCTGCGAAGGCACTTGTTGGGATTTTACAACAGCTGCTCATACCTCGTGGCCGGCCAAATCTTCTCTCTTGCAGAGATCGAACATCTGGCAGCTTCCTGAGAGGGTTTCCTTAAGCCGGACTGAACGGTGTCCTGGCATGGTGCTCCTTTATGATTCTGAGAAAGGTCTTGCGCAACCAGATGCAGAAGGCCAGCACCCGACTTATGACGCTGCTGGTGCGTGCTGCTGCCTCAGTTGGAGTCACATGCTTTTCAAGTCCGGTTTGTAAGAAGCTCCATTTTCTTTTGCGGTCCAAGTTGCACCAGACTGATGTACATGCAAGCAAGACCGCCCCAAAAGACGACTGGGAACTGCAGGTTTGGCGCCGCGAACCCTCTGAGCTTGAGGCCCTGCTTTCCAGCTCCTTCAAATGAACAGATGAACAGATGCACAAGCTCTGGGAATTAGCCATGGACGTAGGAGCGCCCTTCTTTGCGTGCTCCAATAAATCCGGGAGAAAACTTCAGATGCCGCCCAGACTGGCGCTGGAACCCAAGAGAGTGGCAGAGAGCTTTGGCGAGCTTTGGGGAAAAAAGCATTTAGATGTGTCTGTATGAGAGTTTTGTGCCCGTCTGAGTCCGAGGTCTCAATTTGGTGCTTTGCGCAGGCAACAAAGCCAGCAGCTCCAAGCCACTAGCTCGGAGGGTTTCTGACAGCTTAGCAACAGACCTGCCCTTCAGCTGCTAGCTTCAGGGTGCCAGTTTTCGAGCACATGTCGGCTGATGACTTCGACAAGCTTGTGAGCAAGTCAATGGAGCATTGCTTACGTTGTGGCCCCGGTATGAGCTGCAAGACCCCAACTGATCCCAAGTGCAATCACGAAACAAGCGGCTCAGGAGTTGCCGGCCGACTGGACAAGCGACCTGTCCAGCTCCCCTACGTGAGATCCTGAAGAGAAAGTCCAGCAGACCTGCTAAGAAAGCCCCTCTCATTTGCCACTGAAGAAGCTTGCTGCGAGCTGTTTCCAGAGGTGCTTTACCGCTTCCGGGCAGATGCACCTGGACCGGTCACTGAATTGCTCTTCGCCTTGTTTTTGTGGTCGAACCGAGAGGGCAGCGTTCGCAAGCTGACACCTCACTTGCCAGGCCCGATCGACGATGGTCCTCTGCGTTGTCACCGCTACTTGGAGACGCGGTTCTCGACGGTCGAGTGGCAATCCCGCCATGTTTTCATCCCCGAAGCATGTACACTACTAATATGGATGTTTCTGTAAATCGGAATGTTTCCAGCAGCTAGGGCTATCATTTTATGAGCACCCTCTTGCAAGGCGTACAGGTCCGGCTATGACTGGACGATGCGGGATAGGCTAGACCTACTCTGAAGAGTCAATGCCAAAGAAGCTCGTGTAAGTTCAGATGATTTTGATCAGATCTAGTGGCTGAGAATTGCAATAATAATTCTGCGCACACATTTGTCAATCATGGCTTGCATTGATTGGTCTTCTATATATCAAGTGATTGCTCTTAGGAGGGATATATTTCTTACAATATATTCAAGATCATAGAAGTTCTTGTTCTGAGACTGAATCTTCAGAGATTTCGTATCTAAGGTATAGGTGCGTATAAACCAAGTATGAAATTACCTCAATATTACGGCGCGGCCACTTGCGGTCATTTCGCTCGCGTGCGGCCTAGGTTTTCCGGCTCACCTTTGAAATGCCTCCTGCGGGCTCCCTTGGGGCTTTAAAATCTCGGAGATTCTAGAGCCATTCGGAAAAGCTAGAGGCTCTAAAATCTCCGAGATTTTTGGCGCGGGCGCCGCGACCAAAAATCTCGGAGATTTTTGGTCGCGCGGCCCTTGCCTCCGGAGCGGTTTTCCGCGTGATTTATCTCTCTCTGGCTGTTTGCGCGGCTGCTCTGCGGAGCGCATAGACCCGGGAGGGAGAATCAAAATCGTTTAGAATTTGTAGGTTGGCCGTATCTGTCCACGGGAAATATGCACTCCCCCGAGCCGCCGCACGGATAACCCAAGAGAGATAAATGAGGCGGAAAGACCGGGCCAGATGCGGGGGCCGCGCGAATAAACATCTCCCGAGATTTCGAAACCATTTCTCTCTCTATTCGGCTGTCTGCGCGGTGGCTCGGTGTAGACCCGGGGCGGAGATCCAAAATCTTTCAGAATCTATTAGGTTGGCCGTTTTTCGTTACGTGCGATCTTATATATTGATTGTTCGTCGGGATTCACGTGCGATCTTATATGTCCGTGTGATTTATCTCTCTTTGGCTGGCTGCGCGGCTGTTCGGAGGAGCCCGTAGACCGAGACGGAGAACCAAAATCTTTCAAAATTTATATTTGGCCGTGTCTGTTCACGGAGATTTATGCGCTCCCCCGAGCCGCCGCGCAGATAGCCCATGAGAGATAAATGAGGGGAAAGGCCCGGCTGGATGTGGGGGTCGCGTGATCAAAGCGCCGCGTGACCAAAGATCTCCCAAGATTTCGAGCTATTTCTCTCTCTTTGGTTCTTTGCGCAGCAGCTCGGCAGAACTTGAAGACCCGGGGCAGAGATTTAAAATCTTACATATGATGTTCTTAAAATGTTGATAGTTCATCGGCCTTCACGCGCGGTCTTTTACATTATTTGGTCATCGGATTTCTCGTTATAGATTTTCTCAAATATATATTCCGTCAATATAGGCAGCGTGCCAATTCTGATTTTAGGAATTTGACTAGAGATTGAAGACGAAGAGGAAATTTGATTTCTTAATATTACAGGAGGCATCGGACAGACGAGAATAGAATTATATATTTATTTATATCGTTATAGAAGCATTATCTTTCTGATAAGAAAAATTAAATAAGTCGAATCGAGGAATTACGATTAGATTTTCATATGAAAAGGATTATAGATTAGAATTCTATATTCTTTAATATTCTGATATTTTATTTCTTTTATAGATATTTGATTTTATTTTTGAAAATTAAATATAGAGATAATATTTTTCTAAAAATATTGAATATTTGATATCTATTTATTTTTATAAGAAAATATTTATTAATATATTTTCTAGAATGATCGCGTTCTTAAATTAGAGACTCCAAAATCTCCGAGATTTTTGGCGCGGGCGCCGTGATCAAAAATCTCGGAGGTTTTTAGTCGCGCGACCTTTACCTCTAGAGCAATTTTCCCTGGAATTTATCTCTCTTTAGTTGTCTACGTAACTATTCGACAGAACGTATAGATCTGGAAGCGAGAATCAAAATCATTCAGAATATTTATTCGATCGTATCTATCTACGAGAATTTATGCGCTGCCCCGAGCCGCCGCGCAAATAGCCCAAGAGAGAAAAATGAGGGAGAAAACTCGGATCAAATATGGGGGGCCCCACGAATAAAAATCTCCCGAAATGCCGAAATCATTTTATTTCTTTATATATCTTCGTAATAATTCGGGAGAATATAGAGACCCCAAAAATAGATCTATAATCTTATAGAAACTATATATTAATCGTTTTGAATATAAATACGATATTAAATGTTAATTATTCATCGGATTTCATATATTCTATATAATTTATTTCTCTTCGTTCGAAATCTGCCGATATTCGAGAGAGAGCAGAAATCCGAGAGAGAGAATCAATATTTTTTCATTCTCTAGCCTTAAAATCTCCAAGATTTTAGAGCTCCTAGGGAGCCCGCAGGAGGCGTTTTAAAGATGAGCCGGAAAAGCTAGGTCGCGCGCGAGCGAAATGGCCGCAAGTGGTCGTACCATATTACGTGAATGATTAGAGATTTATATTCTAGCTTTTAGATTTTCAAAAATTACGCGTATCTTTCCTTCTAATTTCAGATATCCTTTCTTGTAATAAATTCACCAAGTATATTGAAGCAATTGATGTGCATTATTCAATTTCGTGGTACGCGCTCGCCATATAGAAGACGGCGGAGAAGTTCTTGGACTCATACGAGATCTTCCGACTAGCACGGGAGATATTCATGGAGATGAGGATTCATCTTATATTTTTTGAAGATAGCATGTTGCGATAGAACCATGAAATCCTTGATTTCAATCCCACTCGATGAAGTTCATTGGGTCCTTCGATGAACTAGTAATACGATGAAATACTCCTGATTCGGTCAGTATTTTAAGGATAATCTGATCAAGATAGTATCGAGATCCTCATCTTCATGAATAGCAAGAAATGAAGATTTGATGATCTTCAGGAAATCCTCATACGTGATTTGGCGCAAATCTGAAGCTTTCATTTCCTTATAGATCTTCTTATCAGCTCTTCTGCACGCATATCGTCTTGATCTCTGATCAAATTATATAGATAAAGACCGAGCCCGCCCAATCGTGTCTTCTTCCTGAAATGCTTAATTATATGATTTCAAATAAGACTAGGGATATTCGGGATATATTCATAAATTTGGCAATATCAAAATAAAATAAAATATAAATTCAGATGTATGACGGATAGATTCAGGAATATTTTGAGGAAGGACGCGTCTATGCGCTGCAATATATCTTCGTCAAAGATATCTGGCTTGTATCGTAAGAGGGACTCAGCCTTGAAAAAGTCGAGATATTTTGCTGATATAATAGAAGGAATGAGCTCGCCACGATCGATCTCGTCGATCTCGTATTTAGATTATATGAAGAGGAGGCTCTTCGAATCAATAGATTTATCTATCCGAATACGGCCAATCTACGTGATGGCATCTTGGCGTATCATAGGCAATATGCTGGGGAGAATCCGATCCAAAAATCATGGCACGAAAGTCTTGAAGATAAAGGCGGAAAATTCTAGAATCTTGGCGTTCTGACGGTCCCTCCTATAATTATGATAGACCTCTTTGACCTTGCCCTCGGGTCAGTTTTCGAGTTTGCCCCATGAGTATGGATTTGATCATTAGTCCATTCCATGAATTGGTTCCGATTGTTGTAACGGGGTCCGAAAATGCGGATGAAGTTATAATCTGCCGCGTATTATTTTTGATCCAAGGAGATTTTTTTTTCTCGAGTTTGGACTTGATGATCCAATGACGAAATTGATAGCTATCTATTGGATCTATCATGATTTTGAGAGTTGCCAAATCATATCGAATAGTATTGCCCCAATCGAAACGCATGGCATTACCCCTATAAATATTCAAATAATCTTTGGACGCAATCTTGTTGCGGGGAAGATAGACGTGATTCACGATATATAATAGGCATGATTGGGATCAATATCTTCAGGCGCAGCGGCAGGGATAATAACGAATTGGATGAAGGAGGGAAGATTTGGCGAGGATGCTGGCAAAAATGGTATAGGAAGCTGGTCGTATTTATCATCAGCGCAGCTTGTATATTTGATCGAATATGGCAGGCGTCATCTTGAGAGGATGAGTCGTGATAATATCCGCAAATTATTCGATCTTGATCGCTCTAGATTCTAGATGGCGGATAGGGAGGAGCGAGATTTGAATATCGCCTCCAGCACGATCCGATTTGATAGATTTGACCTCTGGATCCTGGAGTTTTTATCCAGATAGATGCGCGTATGTCTCTTCGAAATTGAGGTCGTCATCTTGGATTTCATATTCGGGAGCAGGCGGCTATTGGACGCGAGCGCGGGCGAACTGGAAATGATAAGGCTAAACTAATTCTGAGAAAAATCTAGGATATCATAAATATATATACGGTCATTCTAATATAATAGCTGATATATTTGCAAGCTATATTCTGCCATAGCAAGCTTGCGATAAGTCAGCTGCATTTTCTCGCATTCTGGCAAGATTTTATTGCAATCCCTCGAGATGGAGCTTATCAGTTTCATTGAGGAGCTCTTCTCCGCGGACAATAGTTTTGAAAATTAAATCCTCCATTCTCATAGTCGTTATCCTCGGCTATGAGTATGGAGATTGAAAAGAAATGGAATATGATAAGACGGCATATTCATATAATATGCTTAGCAGATTCGATCTGGAAATATTTCGATGCGAGTCTCATATTATATAGGAGCTCTGGGCATGGGGTCCTGCGGTTCTGGATCGTCATCTTAGATATTCATCTCTTCTTTAATGAAAGCTATAATTTAAAACCCCATGAATAAGCATTAATTAGGATAAATCGTGACGCGAGAAGGACCAGATTTCAATCAATCTTTCGTCAGAGAAGTCGACCTTTCTCTCAAATATGACTTGCCATATATTTAAGGGAATAGAATTTCAAGGCGCTTCACTAGTATTGGACCAGAAAAGCAATTGAATATATTTATATAGATATGAAAAGGAAATCTATAATTATATCGTGCGATCGGAACGATTAGGGACCTAAGGATCAAGAGATCATCCACAAAAAATCCAAGAAAAAATCCAAGAAAAAATCCAAGAAAAAAT